ATCGGTGTGCTTGATGAACATAGTGTGGTCACTTTGGGCCTGGACATATCCCTAATTTTTAATAGACTGAGTGAATCGTTCAAACCAGGCTCTTGAGGATTGTTTGAGCCCATAAAGTGATTTTCTTAGTTTACACACCTTAGATCCAAAGTGCTTATCAAATCCAGGCGGTGGATCCATATAAACTTCCTCTTCCAATTCTCTGTTTAGAAATGCGTTCTTCACATCTAACTGTTGAAGCTGCCAGTCAAGATTTGCTGCAATTGAAAGAAGTACTCTTACGGTATTCAGCTTTGCCACTGGAGCAAAGGTCTCGAGATAATCAATGCCATAGGTTTGAGTAAATCCTTTAGCCACCAACCGTGCTTTATACCTCTCGAGAGATCCATTAGAATTATACTTGATGGTGAACACCTATTTGGCTGTTGTCTTTCCTCTCGGAAGATTCGTTTCTTCCCATGTGTGATTCTTCTCAAGTGCTTTCATCTCTTCAGAAATAGCTTTCCTCCACTCAGGAACCTGTAAAGCTTCTTGTACACTTTTTGGAATTTCCACAGAAGTGAGATGTGAGGTAAATGAAAAAAAATGAAGGAGAGAGATTCTTATAGGACACATAATTAGACATGGAGTGTTTAGTGCATGACCGGACACCCTTGCAGGTGGCAATAGGAATATTGAGTTCATCAAATGACTCAGGACTAGCACTAGGGATAGATTGTATGGAATCATCAAGGTGCTCGGGACTGGAATATAAACAAGAATCAGATTGATTGTTACTTGGGCACTTGGGGGAGTGTTTTGGTTCTTCCCTCAGTTCGGACTCATGGCCTTGTAGAGGATCGGAACCTTGTTTTTTTGAATTCAGTTTCCTCCTTGAGTAGACCAAGAGTTTTGCATTCTTAGTAAGTACCAGTCTTGTTCCCATTTTTTGAGCTGCTGCGATTCTAATTTTGACATGGCAAGGCTGCTTGAATTTTCAATATGTAAAACATTATTTGTTCCATCCATATTTTTCGGTTTTTTAACATGTGAATCCGAATTTTCAGTCTCAATATTAGGAGTATGTTGAATCTATTTCAAAAACATCATTAATTCCAAATTCGGTTACATAGGCACTTGTACTCTCCCCCTGAAGATGAGTAGCAAAAAAAGGTTTAGATTCAACAAAGGTTACATCCATGGTGACAAACATTTTTTAAAAATTGGATCAAAGCATTTATAACCTTTTTGAGTAGGTGCATATCCTACAAAGGCATTTTTTAGCTCTAGGGTCAAGTTTTCCCCGGTTATGATCATGAATGTGTACAAAGGCTGTGCATCCAAAAATTTTTATAGGAAGTGTAGGTGATAACCTAGATGTTGGATAGCAACTTGAAAATACCTGTAATGGTGTTTTGAGTTTCAACACCCTAGTTGGCATCCTATTGATAAGCTATGTAGCTGTGAGGATAGCTCCCCCCAAAGATACTTCGGGACTTTATTTGTGAAATGTAGTGCTCTAGCTACTTCTAGGAGGTGTTTATTCTTTCGTTCAGCTATTCCATTTTGTTGAGGGGTGTCATTACACGAGCTTTGGTGAACTATGCCTTTTTCTAGGAAGAATTTTCCCAAAATTTTGTTAAAATACTCTTTTCCATTATCACTTCGAAAAACTTGAATTTGTGTTTGTAATTGTGTCATCACCATTATGTACAATTTTTTGAACACCTCCACATCTGACTTTTCTTTTAGTAAGTAAACCCAACTTACCCTGGTGTGATCATTTATGAAAGTGACAAACCATCTCTTTCCCGATGGTGTTGTGATCCGTGAAGGCCCCCATACTTCACTATGTATTAATGAAAAAGGTTTTGAAGCCTTGTATGGTTGTAATGGAAATGTGGTACGATGATGTTTAGCTAATTCACAAAATTCACACTGAAATGAAGATGGATTTTTATTTCTAAATAAGTTTGGAAACAAATGTTTTAAATATTGAAAACTAGGGTGGCCTAACCTATAATGCCACATCATTATTTCATCCCTACTAGTAACATAAATAGATTCAAGACAAGTACTATGTGTCGGTCTTCTTGATTCGGATCCATCTTCAAAGAAATAAAGTCCACCAATCTCTCTAGCACTGCCAATCGTCCTCCCCGAGGTTAGTTCCTAAAACTCACAATAAGATGGATAGAAGTTAGCTTTGACACTTATGATCATGAGTTATTTTGCTTATGGACAATAAGTTACAAGACAAATTTGGAACATGGAGGACATTATGAAGTGTGAGAGATGGAGAAACGCTGACTGATCCTATTCCAACTATGGCTGAAAAGGATCTATTTGCAATTTTGATCTTTTTATTCCCTGCACACGGTTTGTAGGATGAAAACAGTTTTGAAGAGCCAGTCATGTGATCTGTGGCTCCATAGTCAACAATCCATGGACAAAACAAATTTGATTTTATACTAGAGAGAGCTGTAATGAGATAATTACCCTTTTGAGCTAAAGAACAAGAAGAATTTGAAAATTGTGGAGATTGAAAGAGTTTGTATAGATGGTCTAGTTGTTCTTTTGTGAACTGAGTTATTTCCGAGTTGATTTGCTGCCTTTTAGAATCCTCACTCACGGTTTGGAATGCTTTGCCATCACCTCCATTCTTCTTTTTAAAATTCTTCGGTTTGCCATGAAGTTTCCAGCATGTTTCCTTTGTATGCCATGGTTTTTTGCAGTGATCACACCATGGTTTCTTTTTCTTTTCTTCCTCCGGATCAAATCCTCTAGAGACTAGAGCCGAACTTTTTGCTTTAGGATTGAGCTTTGGTTCTTGAGCTTTTAGCATCACTTTTCGCCTAGCCTCCTCTCTCCTAACTTCTGAAAACACTTCTCTGATAGATGGTAAGGGTTTTTTTTTTCCAAGACCCTTCCTCTTATTTCATCCAATTCTTGATTGAGTCATGCTAGAAACACGTAAACTCGGTCATTCTCCTCTCTTTTCTTATGCCGCACACTATCAGTTGGACAATCCTATTCATCTTCGTAACACAAATCCAATTCTTGCCATAAAGTCACCATTTCGTTGTAGTATGTTGTGACATCTCGATCTCCCTGCCTAGATTGCCACAGCTTCGTCTTTAGTTCAAAGATTTGTGATGAGTTTTCTAGGTCTGAGTACATCTAACGTACGGCTTCCCACATATCTCTGGCGGTTGGTAAGAATAGATGGGGTTTCCCAATAGCCAGCTCCGTTGAGTTGATGAGCCACGCCATTATCAAAGAATTCTCGGATTGCCATACCTTTAGATTCGGATCACCTGCTGTTGGTTTTTTCACCTCTCCGGTTAAATGGCCAAGTTTCCCTCTTCCATCAATTGCGAGCTTCATGGACTGAGCCCACTCCGGGTAATTCTTGCCATTTAATTTGTGAACAATGATCTGAAGAGAAGGTTTTGCATATGCTGCCAATGGGTCTGTGCCGCTGGTCATGGCATTGCTTCCGGACTGCTCATTCTCTGCGGAATCCCTTGAAGAAGCAGAGGTCCTACTTGCTCCAGTCATGGCAGTTTTTGCCATTAAAATTTAAGAGCTAGCTTTGATACCATGTAGGTTTTTTAAAAGAAAGAGAACTTTTTTCCTTATTCATATTATGAGGAATTTACAAGCTATTTATAGGCATAAAACTAACTTAAAAAATCTAAGTCATCCTTATCCGGACCTAATCAAACATTCTATCCGGATTTTTAAATTTAAAAACAGAATCAAGGAAAAGATAACTCGTAACTTTTAGAATGATAATCTTCTAAGAGATAATTTCCTAACTTTCAAAATCCCTAGGTCTTCGATAGTAAGTCGCCGGAAACCCCCAACGTCTTACTGCCCCTTCCCTTTCTCAGTCCCGGATGGAACTACTACACCCAAATTCGAAGATGCCCCTGAAACAACGCCATTCCCACTGCGAGAAATGATTGAATTCACAGTTCTTGTTACTGGACTCGAGTGTACAAATGGGCCACATGAATACGCTCCTCCTAGCCCGTTCTTGGTATGGTGGATTGCAACGTTGCAGTCCTCAATTCGCTGGGCCATTTCCATTACCCTTATCAACCCAATGGGCCTTAGCTTTTTGATCTCGGCCCGAATGTCAGACTTAAGCTCGTTAATGAACTGAGCTTCCATCGTCTCCGGCGTGATATCAACGAAATGAAAAATATCATTCAACATGATGAATCCATGCTTCCGGGTCAATTCCATCAAACACCAGCATCTCGAGTCGCTAACCTCCGAAACCACACCGTATAGCCGCCTGTGGAGGTGTTGGAACCTTAGGCATTCTCCATTCGTTGTTCCCATTGTTCAATTTTATCAAGAATCGTAATCTTGCTTAAAATAGTTTCAACATCATTCTTCACCGAACCTAATCCCTCGTCCACCGCATCAATTCTTCTACTGGTATTTTTCCCCGCCATCCCCTAGAAAGACTTGCTCTGATTCCAAAATGATAGAACTCGACAATACAGAACAAAATTGATAGAAACTGAAAAGAATCGGAAATGGCAGTCTTTATTCCAACTCAATAGGATTTACAGAAATGCTAGGCTTTCGAGAGGCCTAACTCTCTCCCCCAAACAATCCAGAAAATTCCCTGCTTTTCCTAAAGCTAAACTCCTATTTATATTTGTTCCCCACTATTTCCCTACTAACTATGCCACGTTGGAACTTAACACCCAATACTCAACAAACTCCTGTAACTAACCACTAACCGACTTCCCCTTCTTTCTCCTTGTGTAAGTAAACCGTATAGGTGGCTTATCACATTCTTGGTTACTACGTAAGGACGCAATATGGAGAAGGAGAAAGAGAGATAAGAAGGTTTCATAGTTGATGTCTTTCAAGTATTCTGCAAGCTTTTTGTTGTATTGCTGTGGAAGTTGATGTCTTTTAAGTATTCCACAAGTTTTTTGTTGTATTGCTGTAGATTGTGTATTGCATTTCATAATAATAATAATTATATTTTCCAGGTGCGAGGAAAAATTGGAGACTTCATAATAGGAGTCTTTAATGTATTTCAAGGTATGGGACATTGACAAGTATTACTTGAATATTACACAAGTATAATTATTTTGTTAAAGGGATTTTTGATTGGTAGACAATTGGTTAAAAATACCCCTGGGGTGTTGGTTGGAATGGTCAGGTCTTTGATTTGCTCCCACAAGTTCTGGGGCTCGAACCACCTCATGGGCACCTAAATGACAAAATGTCTTCCAAAGATTTTAGGGTTTGGCAGAAGGCTCCAGTTTCTAACTTGGGCTAATAAAGTGGGCTCAGGGGATTTCTGGGTATAAAAAAAATGGTTAAAAATAACCCATGTTTATCTAGGGATAAAATTATTGGACATGTAATTGCTGAGTAGAAAATAGTTTTAGTAATATTATGTGTAAAATCCAATTAACTGGAATTATTGGCATCAAAGATTTTCTTATCAAAATGATTCGTTCCATTTTCACTTTAACTGGAGAACATTTATAGTTCTTTGAGCTTCCAACTATTTAATTTTTTTTTTTTTTTGGATAATTTCCAACTATTTAATTGTATGTCAATAGATCTGGACTTCAGTTTTCTGGAAATGAATCCATTTACGCTGGTTAATGGAGAGCCGTATCCACTGGATATGAGGGGAGAATTGGATGACACCGCTGCTTTTAAGAACTTTAAAAAGTAATTCACTGGTTTCTTCAGAACTTCACTCTGCTTATTTTGTTTCTTAATTTTTCAGTTCTAATTTAGCCTCCAGAGTGCTAATTGTTGTTCCTTGTATACCCAGGTGGGGCAACGTAGAGTTTCCACTTCCTTTTGGAAGAGTTTTGAGCCCTACAGAAAGCTTTATTCATACGTTGGATGAAAAAGTAATTTCACATTCAAGTTATGCTTTTTCATTAAAAATGAATGTTATTATCTAGTGTTTTCGAACTTCAGAATATGTTTTGGTATTGAAGTTTACACATTGTTGATCAGATATACTTATCATGTTCTCGAGTAAATGTTGCAGACAAGTGCATCATTGAAGTTTACTGTTTTGAACCCGAAAGGACGCATCTGGACTATGGTTGCTGGAGGAGGCGCAAGTGTCATATATGCTGACACTGTAAGTGTTCCAAGCTACTAAACAATACAATCAGCCAATCTGTTTATTTTTACAACTATGGATATCACTTTTTACCATTGGTTTCCCACCGGTGTTCTAGGTTGGTGATTTGGGCTATGCATCTGAGCTTGGTAACTATGCAGAGTATAGTGGAGCTCCAAACGAAGAAGAGGTGTTGCAATATGCTCGAGTTGTTATTGATGTAAGAAAATTTATTAATATGACTAAATTTGAGCTTTCTTTTTTTTTTTTAATTGAGATACTAAATTTGAGCATTTTGTTTTAGAGGTAGCAGTTTTTGTTTTTGACATTTAAAATTGATAATTTACTGATTTGCTCTTTCTTCATGCTGCAGTGTGCAACTGCAAATCCTGATGGTCGTAAGAGAGCCCTTTTGATTGGAGGGGGCATTGCTAACTTCACCGATGTTGCTGCCACTTTTAATGGGATTATTCGAGCTCTAAGGGAAAAAGTATGTCCTAGTTGAGCCGTTTTGAGTACTCTTATTATTTAGTTCCTCTTTTCCACATATTTTGGTCTGTTCTCCCATTTTGTTCGTCATATTACTGTATTTTCTTGTTTCCTATCAGGAGTCCAAGCTAAAGGCAGCGAGAATGCACATATATGTTCGACGAGGTGGTCCTAATTATCAGACTGGCTTGGCGAAGATGCGTGCTTTGGGGGAAGAACTCGGAATATCCCTTGAGGTATGAGATGCCAAAACCTTTACTGAAATCGCCCAAGGTGTCATATTTCTTACGGCCTGATTAGGAAAATTGACTCTATATTGAACTCTGCTTATACAGAACCTACAAAATTTTTCTTAGCCACATCAATCTCAAAATCCTACACTTTCTAGAGTGGAAAAGAGCTGAAGGTTTTTATTTATTTTTTGATTAAAAGAAAAAGAGAGCTGAAGTAATTTAAAGCAGTTTTAAACCGAACCCATATCTTGAAATATTTTCCTCCAATTTTCCCTTCTTGTATTTTCTCCTATGAACATATTTTTTTGTTCTTTGGCTTCATTCCTTATTAAAAGTTATATTCATTCTTATCTTTACTTTTGTCTTCAGGTTTACGGGCCAGAGGCCACAATGACGGGCATCTGCAAGCAGGCAATTGATTGCATCATGTCCCAAGCCTAAAGTTATAAATTGTTTTCTGACTTTGTCAATGTGTGCCAAGAAAATAATGTATACATTCGATATTGACTAAAAACAACTTGCCTGAGGTTTCCTTGAGCACATTCGATGAAGTTAATTGTTTTTGCAATCCGAACATCGTCATTCCTTGATCCTTTCAAAGTTCTGCAATAAGTGTTCCGAAAGTTATGCATTTTTTTACATATGGAACTCTGCTTAACTGCTCTGAGTCTACATTTGAATGGATTAATAAAAGAAACTGATTTGTGCTGAAAGTTGACTTCTTTTGGCTGTGAGCCTGTGACTGATATCTTATACTTACCATTGCCTTTTCTAAGTTAAAACAGAGTGCAATTTAGCGAAAGGGAATCATTAAAAAATAAAACAAAACCAAAAAGGGGGACAAAAAGCTGAATAGAGCATACATAGCCATTGTGTTCGTCACAGCCACCTATGTGTTTTGATAAACCAGACATTCTTATTACTAGTTTAAGTAATCTTATTTTGTATTGGGGCAAAAGTAAGCAACAGAGAAAGGTAGAAATGATGTGGCCATGGGTAAAGCCACCCACAGACGAGGGTGGGTGGCCACCCCATCTGAGCCTTTATTTTTTCTTTTTCTTTTGACTTTGTATATAAAATTTGCATTTAAATCCCCCGTTCCACATCTCTTTATTTATCACACCTGATTAGTTCAACCGGGCCTCTACCCCTGGTTGTAGTGACACTGTTTTAATATGCAGCTGTAAATTCCAAAATATGACTTTTTGTTTGTTTAAATGTCCTATTGTCGCCTTGAATTTTTTTATTATTATTTTTTCAAAAGGTTATATTCTCTTGCTTAATGCTACGTACATATAGTACATAAGATGGCACTTAGCCAAGTGGAAGCCTGCAAGGCAATGACTGTTTATTATTATTATTTTGTTTTTTTAATGCGAGTGACCAATTCCGGCTCGCTTGTCATTGTTGCTTTTTTCTTTCTTTCTTTTTTTTTTTTTTTTTTTTTTTTTTTTTTTTTCATTGTTTTATGTTCGTAATGAGGAAAGAAAGCAACAGACTAACCTCAATTAGCAATTTGCAAAATACTAAGAAAAAATAATAACAAAGTAAAACAATGTCCAGACTTTCGAAATCCAGCACGTTGTTTGTCACAAATGATAAGTTTAACAGAGAAAAGGAACTTTGGCCTTCTTGTTCCCACCTTTCTTGCGGGTAAAGAAAGTAGGAAGTCAAGCTTGGGAGAAAGAGTCAGGTAGCAGCAGGTACATGCCCAAATATACCAGAAATGCCAGTGAACATCTCAGTTACGGCACTGCTATTATATTTGAATCATGAGAGGGGCTGTCTTGGAATTTTCCACCTCTCATATCCTCTTCATTGCCAGTTGAAATCTCTAAAAGTCAAATGACAAACAAATTAAGTAACCCACAAATGGCATGTAAGTAATTAAGTATTACGTGAGCATGTACTATACTAGAAAATGACCATGAGGTTTGAAGTTGAGACATATGAAGGAATATAAATATATATATATATATATATATATGGATAATACTAAGATAAAATATTCCTTGGAAAAGGAGGTTTACCATGGAATTCTTCAAACATTGACAGCTTCATCATTTGTTGTGCAGCTATACAGACACGCTTTGGTTAACAAAGTAAAACCAACCAAAAATTCATACCAAGTAATTCACCTTAATTTGCTTCAACTATAAATACCAATAAACTTCAACTATGTTTCTCCATCCCTTACAACGCACTTCTCTCCTTTTCTAGCTCATTCTTTTGATTCCCTTGCTAGTGATCATTTGCAATCTCTTTTTAAGTACTACTACTCATTAACTTTTAAGTGTTAAAGCAAGTATGAAAACCCTCATTAAGTGCATGATTCTAATTTTAGCTTTGATGGCTTCTGTGTCATCGGCATCAGCCGCGCTTAAAGTGGACTTTTATCGATTTTCTTGTCCGCTCGCGGAATCAGTTATAAAGAAAGTTGTTAACAGAGAAGTGTCCCGTAATCCCGGCATAGGTGCTGGCCTCATCAGATTGCATTTTCATGACTGTTTTGTTAGGGTACGTAAATAATATAAACATATATATATATATATATATATGTCTGCGCGCACGCTTATACTAGTTCTAATCTATTAAGCCTCAATTGTCATATAGCACATCGCATGCTAATACTACTACTAAACTATTATCAAGGAAATAGAAGTGAAGCTTCTTCTTATGTGCTAAAAATCAAGGCAAGTTGGCTTCACATGCACATATAGCACTCGATCAACATAAAATGCATGCATGCAGTGCAAAACTAAAAGGAAACATGAAACTGAAGATGGTCCCGGCGGGGCTCGAACCCGCGACCTTCGGCTCATAAGACCAACGCTCTAACCAACTGAGCTACGGGACCGTCACATGTCATAAAGTCCGAGAAAAATATTTCTCTATTAAATTACGGCAATTTATGTGTCCTAGACTAATATATGATATTATTATTATTATTATCTAATTAAGAGACAATCTTCTCTTGGATGGTAAAAAGAATGTGACGTCTTGTTACAATTGTACTTTTCTCACCTCTAATTAACCCTCTTTGGGGGGAAACAAAAAAATCCTCTTATCATTGCTCATTTTCTTTTAAATAATGCTATGACCACTTTTATTTTAATTAATCTTATGCATCTTGTAGCAAAAGAAATAAACAAATAAATAATAAAGAAGCAAGCTTATTTGTCACCATATTTTTTCTTAACCAATAACATATTTGTCATCATTTTTCGGGCACACAAAACATAAATTATAACACATTGCATGGCTTTGGTATTATCACACGTCGATCACATTTCTAATTACTAAACTTCATCTACTTGGTAAAATTCTCACGTCAATTGCCAATTATCTTTTAGGGCTGCGACGCGTCGGTACTCCTTGACTCGACGCCCGAAAACCCGGCGGAGAAAGAGCATCCGGCAAACAACCCTAGCCTCCGGGGCTTCGAGGTCATCGACTCCGCAAAAACGGAGCTTGAATCTCTCTGCCCGCAAACCGTCTCCTGCGCTGACATCCTCGCCTTCGCGGCCCGCGACAGCGCCTTCAAGCTCGGGGGCATCAAGTACTCCGTCCCCGCTGGTCGCCGCGACGGAACAGTCTCACTGAAAGCCGACCCCAACGGGAACCTCCCCGCTCCTTCCTTCTCCACCGCGCAACTGCAGGAGAGTTTCGCCAGCAAAAGCCTAACCCTAGAGGAAATGGTGACGCTCTCCGGAGCGCATTCGATCGGTGTTTCTCGCTGCTCTTCGTTCTCCAATCGTCTCTACTCGTTCAACTCCACTCATCCGCAAGATCCTTCCATGGATCCGAACTTCGCTACGTTTTTGAAGAAGAAATGCCCCGCTTCGACGAGTGATGATCCGGTCGTGAATCTTGATTCGGTTACGCCGAATAGGCTCGACAATCGGTATTACGTCAACTTGAAGAACCGTCGCGGAGTTTTGGCCTCCGATCAGATTCTTTTGAGCAGTTCTTCGACGGCGAGTTCGGTGAGCTACAATGCCAGGAATAATGGGGCTTGGGCGGAGAAGTTTGCTGATGCGATGGTGAAGATGGGCTCCATTGATGTTTTGACGGGAAGCTCGGGGCAGATAAGGAAGAATTGCAGGCTTGTGAATTAACGTTTGTATTATAGGCTGTTTGTTCTTGTTGAAGATCAAGAATCAGATATTGTTGCACTATTACGTAGTTGTACTGCAATATGTTACGTATGATCATCAAGTGTAAATCTTGATGTTGTTTTAGAAGTTAAAATGTTTCATAATGTCCTTTCATATCCTCTAAATTGTGTCTAATTTGACTCTCTTATTTCTTTGTTTCTGTTTCCCTTCATATCCCTCTAATAAGAATATCATATCATTTTTTTTTCTTAAAAGAAAAAGATATTCCGAATAAAATACCATATGTCAATAGAAGTACTATCGTAATTCATATGACATCATATATTAGTGAAGGGAATGAAAGAAAATAAAAGAAAGGGGAAGAAGGGGACATGTGAATTGAATATGTAATTTTGCTTTTCCTTTTAAAAAATTGTCAATCAATATTTTTATCATTATGGCTCCCTCTTTGAAAATTAACCTAATGTTTTTTTTTTTTTTTTAATTTCTTTAAACACAACAAACACACTTACCTTAAAAAAAGTTGTTGCTTGTATATGTAGCCTAACATTAAATTTATGCCCCAACTCTAATGTTTGAATCCTCTATCGCAGTTTATTTTTATTTTTATCTTAAAAAAAGTTTTAACCTTTCCTGCTAATTAACTTGGACTTACTTCTCTTGTTAATAAGACAATTTAACTCCAAACACTATACGCTATTTCGCCCGTCCCCAAATGTGTGACATCGTGGCTTTTTGTTTAGGAAGTTGTTTTTATTTTTATTTTATTATTATTTTTTTAATAAATTTGAGGGGAAGAAACGTTGTAGTTTTTACTATGCAATACGAATGTGATTGTGATATTGACCCTCGATGAAAAAGAAAGAAGAGGAAGCGATCATGATTAGTTTAGTCAAAACAAGCCCTATAGTGGTACTATTTTCGGCTTCCCCCCAAGAACATGAAAGACTTTCAAGTTTTGCAAACTTCAGCTAACTGAGGAGCCATGCATTTACTCAGGAGTCAGGAGTCAGGATTATAATGCAGAATCTTTTTAAGAGAGTAATGGTGGCAAGTACGTCAAACCCACGCGTTTTTTTAAATTACACTATTGATTTCAAAGCAAAATTCGAAATTTGGAGTTGGGTTATGTCTCATTAATCTTACACACCTCATCTACTGCACATAAAAAATTGATAGTAAGTTCACCTCAGAAGGAATTAAAGGAAGAGTAGTGTTGGAATTATAAACTTTAATCTTTTAATCTTTTTTATACCAACTCGGTAGTTATTGGTAGATATAATCTTTTAATATTAATTAACACAATAATTTTTTTAAATACATACTAATAAAAAAAAATAGCACTCACATAGCATATATATAGTTTGATATTAAAAAATTAGGATTAGAATTGTGGTCCTTAGCTTGTTAGACCTAGCTTAATTCTTAATATATATATATATATATATATACACACCAGCTAACTATGTTGTTAAGAATAATGATACAAATGTTAAGTTTTTTTTTATCGAATTTTTAATTCCAAGTGATGTGGTATAGTTGACTTATTTCGTTATAACTTGTAGATATAATTTTTTATTAATTAATTTTACATATCTTATGTATATCCAATCAGATACTAACAGATATTTTTTTTCACTTGTAACATATTACCCTTTTATCAATCCTTTCCTACCCAACATGCATGTGAAACGGTAAACAATTCACTTCATATGAAGCACAACAAATTAATTTTCCTGCTTCTATTATAACTAAGCCACAACTGTTTTCCTGGCCTTGTTACTGTCTCAATAAATAACGCTGACGGTGAAAGGTGATTCAAATTGCTGAGCTGGCCTTGTTCTTTTGTTTTTGTTTTGTTTTTGTTTTTTTGTTTTGTTTTTGTTTTGTTTTTTTGTGTTTTGGGCTGAATGAATTGGTCTCATCTTGATCAAACCTTATATAGAAAAGAATTGGCAACGGGGTAAATCAATGAAAATGAAGCCGGACAGCAAATGCCATATGAAATTGGAAACGTATTAAATTGAAAAGAACAGGTCATGTGGAGGATTCTAGGGCCCTTAGAGATCCCATTTTGTTGTTAGGTAGAGCCATAATAAATTCAAGACCGAAGGCCATAAATCCATTGTAGTACTACCCTTTTACATTTATGGTGATTTAGGCATCTCCATTCCTTGGCAAATTGAGTTCCCAATACAAGTAAATTGTACTTATTGATTGCCATTCAACCGTTTTCTTGCTGTTGTTCTTTTCACTTTGTGTGCCCTCTTAACTACATGGACCTATTACTGTTAATATTAGTAGCTTTTCAATAAAAAAGGAAAAAAAAAAAAAAAAAAAAAAAAAGATCAACAATGTGCTTAATTTGATCAATCCTAGTTTTTCTTTTTCTTGAGGAAGAAGGGGGTTTACCGGTGTTATATCATTCTCCATCCCTTTCGTCTAGTGCAGAAACAATTCGGCTGGGGTGCACCAATAAAATGAAAAGAACCTGTCAATTCTACTTAAAAGTATGTGCTCAATTTCACTCCCACTACTACAACCTAACGTTGCAGTCTATTATAACTGATAAAGACCTCAAAGTAAGGCTGTGGATTATCGAATCTTGAGCACATCCTGAAAGGAGGAAAACAAAGGGCACCATAATCGCTTTACCACCCCTTGGTAGTATCACGGTTAATAAAGGCAATATGGGCTTGTCACACAATTACAACCTTATAAGGCACTTCTCTTGTCCCCACTCCCCATATTAAAAGAGTCTGGTGAAGTGTAAATAAGTAAATTCATTAACTAAAAGTGGTTACTATCGCTAGTTGCTTGTTTCGAATTTGACCTCCAATCTCCTTAGCCATTCCCAACAACCAATATAATTACTTGACTACCCTTACCTAGTTAACTTTTTCCTTTTTGGCCCCCATTGTAAAGTGCAAACTATTCTCACTTAATATGGTAAGCATGTCTTAAATGAGTTTCTTTACGTGGAACACTTTTGCGCTATATAAGAAGGGTGTCACAGGCCAAGCTTCCTCCACTCCAAGCAGAAGTAACACACAAAAGCAAAAGTCAATTGAAGATAAGAGAGTGAAAATCAGAGCTTATCCCCCACCAAAAAAAAAAAAAAAACACTTTTGGAGTCTTGGAGAGAATGACCAAATTAGCCCTTTTCATCCTCACAACCCTCCTAGCGGGTGTTGCATTGGAGGTTGAAGGAGGAAGAATTCTCAAGAGCAATGAGCAGGTTGACCACCCTCAGAACTTCTATGGAGGAGGCATTGGTGGGGCTTTCCCAGGCCCAGGATTTGCCGGCTTCGGCTTTGGGCCTAATGGGTTCTACACATTCCCTGGATCAGGAAGCAATGTCCCGGGCCTGCCCACTATCTCCAGCCCACCTTCTCATGAATGAGGAGACGGCCGAGAGACCTCTCTTGGAACGCATGTGTTTTCTGGGATTTCATCCTTTTGTGTTGGTAACTTGTGTTAGTAAGTATTAGTTTGAGTTACTCTTTTCTTGTTGTGTTTTGTGTCCTTGTGATATTGTCCTCTTGTAGGTGTTTACGCTTTTCGCGTCTGGCTACTACAGGAAAAACTTAATCAAAGTGTGATGTTACGAATATTGATCATTTTATATAGGTGTGTCTACACATTTGTCTTCACGAGTCTTATGGTATGGAGTTATATATGATCCTAAGTTGTAGTGCTTATGTTTGTTGAATTATATCACCAGTTCGCTTAATACAATGGTGCTTTCACTTGTGTGAAAAAAAAAATGAGAGAGATTTGGCCGAGAAACTAACGACATTGTTGCAAGTGAATGTTTTTAGCCGGTTCAAGGGATGTGAATGTGATAATTAATTTGACTGGTAAATGTTAAGAATAAAGATATTCAAGTGTGATCGATTCCAAAGAAAGAGTAATGGATTTCGGCTTACTTTTCGAAAGTACAAAGATTTGCTATTGTCTTATTGCCACCAACCAGTCTCAGAGGGTATAAATGAAAGCAATAATTAATGCATGTCTTGTTAGCAGTATGTACGATCATTGAGATTGTTTGGACGGGCAAGCCATCACCACATTTTGTAACTAATTACAATTTACAACTTGTTAAAATATCAATTGAATGAAGCGTTGGTACCGATCCATGAACAACAAATGCACTAAAAATTTGGAAATATCTACAATTTTTTTTTTTTTTTTTAAATATTTGAGGTGCCAAAATATCGCTTCTAGGTTCAAGAAATTATTTGTCGAAATTTTTGGAAATGTCACAAACAGTGAATTCCGGCCGGTTAGGTTATACTGCATTTTATACAGACAGAGTGTAGGAAAATATAAGAAAAACATAAAAAAATATAGATAGAGAAAATCTTGCTATCTGTGTTTTTATTTTACAATATTTTATGAGATGAGTCTCGGATAAGATGGAATCACAAAAATATTTGAGCTTCGTAAGGCTTTTTTTTTGTTTTTTTTTTTAGTGTTGAGATTTTTATTGATGCACTGGTTATAAGCACAGGGCGCGTGCATCCTCACATTTTTATATGAAAATTTAAAATTTCTTCTAACATTTAGTTGTATTTATTTATTACTCACTTAATAATTGAGTTTAATAAAAAAGAAAAAAAGTTTAGTGGAACACATTTAAAAGGGAAAAAAAGAAAAAAATCACATAATAAATTATTTACGGGGTACATATAAAATGAACATGTTAAATAGAATAAAGTGATAAAAAAAATCATGTCCCCACATATAAAATGAACATGTTAAATAGAATAAAGTGATAAAAAAAATCATGGAAGTGTTTGGCAAAAGATTAAAAAATACTAAGAAAAAGCAAAAGAAAAAAAGAAATGAGAAAAAGTAAAAATAAACAAAGAAAGATTAAAAATAAAAAATTGTAAAAGATAAAAACAAAATAGAGAAATGAGAGGTTGACATGTTGTAAAAGAAGAGTAACATTTTGACTCTTTGATGTATGTTAAATGCATAATTTTTTTTTTTTTTTTTATGTAATACCTGTTTATCAATATATTTTCTAATTTTTATTATATCCAAAAATATTAACGATATGTTTAATGTGTTTTTATGAGTTTGTTACCTTCTTTTTTAAAGAAACAAGTGTTTGTCATAAATAGGATGGTAATTAGGAGGCGGGTATGCTTTCCCCACTCCATACTCTATTCTCTTTTTGTCACCATAACCACCTCTATACTCGCCTAATTAATTTAAGATGGGGTTAGAGTTTGGAAATACCCACCAGAGGAATTATTCTCATACTGTCCCCTACTCATTTACTCAAACTCATCAAAAGTGAAAAAAAAAAAAAAAAAAAAAAAACATTCTTGTCACACTATTAAACTCAATGCAATAAATTGTAAAATTTAATAACATAATCACTAATGTCTCATAAAAATAATCTGAAAAGAAATCCAAATTCTACCAATCTAAAAACTAAATTTGTAAAACAAACCAATTTATTAAAATATTAATATCTCATATTTGAATATAAGGTACGTATAATAGGATCAGGGTAGGGGCTACAGCGGGGGCGGGAGAGCTTTCTCCACCCACCCCTGTGTCACTCCCGAATTAGAGGCTAATTTTAACTTTTCCACACACCCCCACTCCATACCTGTCCTATTAAGGAAATGTACCTGCGGGTCCGTAATCTAACAATACATGAAAGAGTCAAAACTCATCTTTTCATGATAGTCCCTCCACTTATCTCTCTTTTTTTTTCTTGTTTTTTGTAATTTTTTACATTTTAATTTTTTTAGGTGTTCTTTAAAATATATTATTCTTCACTTTATTCCTATGAGAGTAATTTTTTCACATGTGTTCCTATTTTATTTTTAGATGGTTAAAATAATTATCTTCAAATGTGTCTTTGTTTATTTTTTTGGTCAATTGTTAATTTTACATATTTTATTTTTAGAATAAATTTAAAAATTATTAAATGATTGTATAAATAAATTTCTCATTATTCGTTAAATAATAAACATTTTAAATGTCTATAACATGATAATACGTCTGGAGAACGTAACAAAACTAGTCAAGGATAAAAATGTCATCCCAAGTCATTTTTGCCTAGTGAATGAAATTGATGTTTCATGAACAAAAATTTTCTTCCTTTTTAAGAACGAAATTCCAAGAGACATATATATAGTTCTGCTTTGATCAAGGGAGTGATAATTTTTTGTATCACATATTTCACCATAAAAAAAAAAAAAATAGTGAGATATCAGACAATAGGCTAGGTATAAGCAATATTAAATTAATTGAGAATATGATATAACAAACGAGGACTAATTGATTAAAAAAAAAAAACGTAGTGCTTAGGGAGGCATCACATCTTAACGACGTCGCTTTCATCTCATGTCATGGGGCTTTACTTTGCTTTAGCAGTTGTCTCCGCGAAACTCGCCCAGGCGGATTCAGCTTTATTTGCAGTGCGATCTCTCACATCGAGAGGGATTTTCTTCTCAATCACACAGATCTGTTTGGTTCCCGAGAAAAAAAAAAAAGAGAAAATAACAAGAAGACGAAAACGAACGGATTTTACCAGTCAAAAAAGAAAATAAAAAAGAAGGCGAAGGGACTTGAGGATCTTAATTCAAGAGACAGAGCTGGACGGAAAGTGTTGTTGCCAACCAAGAATGTAAGCAAGAAAAAGAGGGATTTTTCATTTCTTTTCTTTTCTTTTCCCTTTCCCTTTATGTTTCCCTGAAAAACTATATTTCATTTTAGCGAAATCAATCATGAGAATCTATTTCATTGTCACTGAAAATTTGCGTTGAGGTCAAAGAGGCGACACAGTACATACATGCATTATATATATGCACATATATATATTTACATACTTTTGTACTTGTATTGAATGCATTTATAGCTTAATTCGTACTTGAATATAGAATCATATAAAAATGCGCATAAGCTTGCAATGTATGTGTTCATTTCCACAAATAGTGATTGATTATTTTGTAAATTAATCGTCTTATTGTCTTGAATATCTGTATCTCGCAAGTTAAGTTAAGCTTTACTAATGAGAAGCTATATTGATTTTTTGAATATACTCAATTAGGAAATAAAGAAAAAAAAACAAAAGGATTGTTGCGCAGGAAAATCCACCACAAAGAAAATGATTAATCTCCATATTTCGTACAAGGATTGATATTAAATCTTAGAATTAGGAAAGCAATTGCAATTTCTGTTGGAAAATAGATATATAGGATCAGCATAAGTTGTCATGATTTAGTGTAACTGAAGATCACGATTGCAATTTTCTTATGATTTCTTTTTCTTAATTATTAGTGTGGTGGAGGTACAAGATGGATGATAGCTGCGCTGTTTGTGCGGAGGCACTACAATGGGTTGCGTATGGACCCTGCGGCCACCGGGAAGTCTGCTCAACCTGTGTCATTCGACTCCGATTCATCTGCGAAGATCATCATTGCTGCATTTGCAAGAGCGAGTCTAGAATCATTTTTGTCACCAAGGTTATCATATGTGATTGTATTTGTCCCTTTTTTTGTTTTTTGTTTCTTTTTTTTG